CGTCACCGCGCACACGCACTCCCCAACTTTCGAACCGGCCAATCAGAATCGAGGCGGGGCGGGGTGGGCGTGGCCGTAGCACCGCGTGGCCCGGGGGCGGAGCAAAGCCACGCGGGTCACGCCCATGGCCACGCCCACCCGAAGCCCCGCCCCCGGGATATAAGTGGGGTACCCCACGGGACGGAGCCGCCTCCCTCCTCAACGGCTCCGTAACAGCTCGGGCAGCGAGCGGCCATGGTGAGGGCTGGGGGCCTGCGGGCTTCCCGAGGGGGCACCGAGCGGGGTGGGACCCCCCGGGAGTGCGGGACCCCCGGGCAGCGCGGGGGGCTGCGAGGCGGCTGCGTGCCGGGGCCCCCCCACGTCCCCAGCAGCACGTGGGGCTGGGCGCTGGAGGGGTTGGGAGTTCCTCGCGAGTTCAGGGCGCCCCGTGGGGCTGCCGAGTTCTTGCTCGCGCTGGGTAGGACCTGAGGTGGGGGTGCTGGGGGGTGCCCCCCCAGGCGGGGGTCGCTGCCCAGGGTGCTTCCACCTTTGGTCTGTGCCGATCCTCCCCGGGCTCCCTGCTAAATGCGTGGGGACACGCCGAGTGGCATCGCGAGTCCTGGGCTCCCACGCGGGTACTACACACGGCTCCGCAGCCCCCCTCGGGAGAGGAACAGGACAAGAGAGGGTTTGGGGGCACCCCCGCTGCCACCCTCTCCTGGCTCTGTTCGCTGGGACACGCGTGGGCGTGAGTCACGGCGGTGTGGGGCGATGGCAGCCGGGGCAGATTCCACAACCACGAGCGGCTGCCACGAGGAAAGTCCTCCCGGTCAGCAGAGTTTGCTCTTGCCCGGCTGGAACTGGCTGCCAGGCGCCCATAACCGCGGTTCAGGGCTGCGGCAGCACCGGGACAGTCCGGGGTTGTGCAAGGGCTGGTGGAGAACAGACTGGCTCCACGTTCCAAGGGTGAGGAACGTTCCACGTTCTTCCACGTGAGCTCCAGGGCTGCCTCATAAATGATGAGCAGCCCCCTGGGAAGGGACCGAAGTGTCCCTGCCGCTGTGTGATCTGTGGGTGGAGGGGATTGGGAATGCTGGGGACCGGAATAACCCTGGAGAACCCCAATTCTTGGCTCACGGGAGGTGCTGGTGGCGTGAATGGCACCAACGGAGCAGGGTCCCACCTTCCTGGGGGGGCAGGATGGGACCCCCAGAGCTGAGCACCCTCTGTGTCCCTGGTAGCCCCAGTCTGGTTCATCCACACCTCCCTCCTCAGCTCCTGGGTGTCTCCAGCTGGAGTTTGGGGTGAAGCTGAGCCAGCCCTGCGTGAGCCAGGGCACAACAGGGTTTGGGGGGGCTGAGCCTGTGCCCAGCGCGTTATTGCTCAGCCCCTCAGTGGGGAGGGGCAGGATGGGACCCCCAGAACTGAGCACTCCCTGCAACAGCTCCGGGTAGGATCTGGCCCCAGCCAGGCTTGGGCAGGGACCCTTCCCAGCTGGGTGCCAGCCCGGTGTGTGCTGGGGTGGGACAGAGGGGGGACAAAAGGGGTGACCCGGTGCCGCGTGCCCCCGCAGCGCGAGTGCATCTCCATCCACGTGGGCCAAGCGGGCGTGCAGATCGGCAATGCCTGCTGGGAGCTGTACTGCCTGGAGCACGGCATCCAGCCCGACGGGCAGATGCCCAGCGACAAGACCATCGGCGGGGGGGACGACTCCTTCAACACCTTCTTCAGCGAGACGGGCGCCGGCAAGCACGTGCCCCGGGCCGTGTTCGTGGACCTGGAGCCCACGGTGATCGGTGAGGGCGCGGGGGGCGGCCGGCGGGGCGGGCGCTGGCGGCGGGCGCCGGGCGCTAACGGGGCCCGGGGCTGTCCCCGCAGACGAGGTGCGCACCGGGACGTACCGGCAGCTCTTCCACCCCGAGCAGCTGATCACGGGCAAGGAGGATGCGGCCAACAACTACGCCCGCGGGCACTACACCATCGGGAAGGAGATCATCGACCTGGTCCTGGACCGCATCCGCAAGCTGGTGAGTGTCCTGTGGGGTCTCATGGGGTGGGTTCATCTCTGCGGGGGATGTGGGGACAAAGGGAAGCTCCAGGTGTCCCTGGGCAGGTTCTTTCAGCCCATGGGCACTTCGGGGCAGAGGGTGGGGCTGTCCTACAAGGGACCTGCTGGCCCTATCCTAGCCCAGTGTTAAGCCTTGCCAAGGGGAGGAGGGTGGGAAGCCCCATGGCCAGGGCAGGGGGGCCAGGACAGATGGTTTGGGTGCTGGTGCAGCACTGGTTTGACTGGTGTGGCTGCCCAAGCTCTTTGAACCGTTGGTTCCCACGCTGGGTCTGGCGCCGGGGTGGCCGGACCTGCTGTGCCAGCGGCTCTGCTCCCGGAGCTCCTGGCACATCAAAGGCTGAGCTGGCTGCCCGTGGGCTCTTGTGGGATAAGAGCCTGTTCCTGCTGCACCCTTTTGGAAAAAGGGGGTGAAGCCATGGTTGACTTCCAGAGCCTGCTGGGTTGTACCCCAAGAGCTGGGGTATCCACCATGAGTCAGTGTAGAATGTGTAAGGTTAGGACCACCTTGTCCCCCAACCTGGTTGTTCCTGCCACGGTGCTGGAACACCCTAATACTATCCTCATGTGGCCTCAGTGAGGAGAAACTTCTGCTGTGTGGAGTAAACATGATCCTCCTTATCTCTACTGAGTGTCCCCAAATCCCTTCAGGAAGGGGTCCCTTTCCCTGGACCTATCCCTGGGCCTGAGATCCTGGGATAAATATTTGCCATCCTGGGAGGAATATTTGCCTTTCTGGGCAAGTCAGAAGCAGCTGAAGTTCAGAATTACTGACACTTTAGTCTTGTTTTCCTCTTCCCACCTGGCAGGCTGACCAGTGCACAGGGCTGCAGGGCTTCCTGGTGTTCCACAGCTTTGGCGGTGGCACCGGCTCTGGCTTCACCTCCCTGCTGATGGAGCGGCTCTCTGTCGACTACGGCAAGAAGTCCAAGCTGGAGTTCTCCATCTACCCGGCCCCGCAGGTGTCCACGGCCGTGGTGGAGCCCTACAACTCCATCCTCACCACCCACACCACCCTGGAGCACTCCGACTGCGCCTTCATGGTGGACAACGAGGCCATCTACGACATCTGCCGCCGCAACCTGGACATCGAGCGTCCCACCTACACCAACTTGAACCGCCTCATCAGCCAGATCGTGTCCTCCATCACGGCCTCGCTGCGCTTTGACGGAGCCCTGAACGTCGACCTGACGGAATTCCAGACCAACCTGGTGCCCTACCCCCGCATCCACTTTCCTCTGGCCACCTACGCCCCGGTCATCTCTGCTGAGAAGGCTTATCACGAGCAGCTGACGGTGGCCGAGATCACCAACGCCTGCTTCGAGCCGGCCAACCAGATGGTCAAGTGTGACCCGCGGCACGGCAAGTACATGGCGTGCTGCCTGCTGTACCGCGGGGACGTGGTGCCCAAGGATGTCAACGCCGCCATCGCCACCATCAAGACCAAGCGCACCATCCAGTTTGTGGACTGGTGCCCCACTGGTTTCAAGGTGGGCATCAACTACCAGCCGCCCACGGTGGTGCCCGGGGGCGACTTGGCCAAGGTGCAGCGCGCCGTGTGCATGCTGAGCAACACCACGGCCATTGCTGAGGCCTGGGCCCGCCTGGACCACAAGTTTGACCTGATGTACGCCAAGCGGGCGTTCGTGCACTGGTACGTGGGGGAGGGCATGGAGGAGGGCGAGTTCTCAGAGGCCCGTGAGGATATGGCTGCCCTGGAGAAGGATTATGAGGAGGTGGGGGCTGACAGCATCGAGGGCGATGAGGAAGGGGAAGAATACTAGTGCCTTGTCTCTGGTGTTACACTGTGGTGCCGCTCATTAAAATGCCTCCTTCCAAAGCTGCCTCGTTCATTGTGTTGGGACAATCTGCCTTGTGGTGACCTGGGGGGACGTCCCACGGGAGGAGGGGGCCTCAGCTGGGCTGGCTGCCCGGCCCTGCTGCCAGCTGGCACAGGGGCTATGCTGGGAGAGGCTGGGGGGTGGTGTGGGGTTGGGGTCCCTGGCTGGGTCCTGTGCTATGAGCTGGCACTGCCGTGCTGGGCTGCCTGCAGTGGGTGGGGGCTCACGTCCTCCTCAGCGTTCTGCTGGCACTGGGGGTCACCAGGTGAGGGGGGGGGTACCCCTGAGCGTCCCTAGAGTCCTGCCCAGAGCCTGGTGCAGACGGGCTGGACGTGGTGTCATGCTGCTACTGGCACAGAGCCACTCTCGGTGCGGTTCTCTGCAGAGCTGGGGGGGGGGTCCTGGGCGGGGGGGGACCCTCCCCACAGCCTCTGGGCAGGGCACCGACTCCTTCCCGTAAGTGCCGCCCTAGCTGCCCGGAAAGGGGCGGCTCGGGGGGGTTGCAGAGCTCGCTGTCCTGCGCTGCCCCGCGCATGGCAGCTCCCGCGGAGCCGAGTCACCGCGGCCCCGACAGAAAGGGAGGGGGGTGCATGAGAGGGTCCCCCCTCCCTGCATGCTGAGCACCCCGTGCAGGATGGGACCCAGCTCAGAGGGGTGCTCTGCCTGAGCCCTGCAGCCCCCAGACCCTCTCTGCATCCCAGCTGGGGGGGTCTGTACCCCCATGCTGCTGGGGGGGGATCCCATAAGGGTCTCTCCTTCTGATGCAGCACCGGGGGGGATCCTGTGTCTCCCGGGCACCCTCGGATCCTCTCCCGCTTACCCCTGGCGCTGCTGGCTTCCTCTGCCTGCACCCCACCAGCCCCTCACCTTCCATCCCAAGGGGGTCTCCGAGCCCCCCTGAAGGAGAATGCCTGCGGCCCTACGTCCTGCAGCGCCTGCCCCTCATCCCGAGGGGTGTCCCCGACCACCCCCAACCCCTTTCCCCGCCCCTCCGAGGGGAAATCTGCGGCCCCGGATCCTCCCTCTGGCTGGGAGACCCCTCCCCTCTCTCTGTCCCGTACCCCCGGGTCCCCCCGGCGGGGCGGAGCCGCTGTCCGCTATAAACAGCCGATACCGGCAGCCGCCGCCCTCCCGGTGCAGCCATGAGCCGCCGTGACCGCGAGCCCGGGATGCCGCCGCCACTCACCGTGGCCCCAGAGCGGCTGGCGGCGGCGGCGGCAGCGCGGGGCGCGGAGCGGGAGGAACTGGCGGCACTGAACGATCGTTTCGCCGCTTTCCTGGAGCGGGTGCGGGCGCTGGAGCGGCAGAACGGGACCCTCCGCGCCGCCCTGGGCCGCGCCACCGCCGCCACCGGGCCCCGCACCGGGCTGGTGCAGGGGGAGCTGCGGGGGCTGCGGGAGCGGCTGCAGCGCCTCGGCCGCGACCGGGACCGGCTCCAGGCTGAGCGGGACGGGCTCGCCACCGACCTGGCGGCCCTGAGGCAGCGGTGGGCCGGCGGTGGGGCCGGGGGAGGCGGCAGGATGGGGATCAGGGATGCGTCGGGATGAGGGATGCAGGGGTGGGGACTGGAGGATGTGCCGGGGAGCAGGGATGCACCGGGATGAGGGATGAACTGGGATGAGGGATGAACTGCAGTGGGAACCGGGGATGTGTCGGGATGGAGACTGGGGGATGTTCCAGAAAGGGACTGGGGGATCTCCTGGCATGAGGAATGTGATGGGATGGAAGGATGGAACTTGCACCAGGATGGGGACAGGAGGACGCAGCGGGATGGGGATGGGGGAGCCCCGGGGAAGTCGGGGTAGGGACTGGTGAATGTCCGCGGAAGAAGAACCCTGGGAAGGGATAGGCTCAGCAGCCACTGGGAAAGGCACCCGGGATGCACGGAGGGCACTGGGAGGCACTGGGAGGCACTGGGAGATGTGGGCTCTGCGGAAGGGCGGGGCACTGGGAGGGGCAGGGCAAGGGTGGGGACACCGGGAGGGGATTGCTGTGAGCGCTGGGGGTCGCCCCATCCATCGCCCCCGCTGTGTGTGCAACAGGAGGAGGTGGTCTGCACCTCCACCTCCCTCTCATCCCCGGCTGTCCCCAGGCTGCAGGACGAGACACAGAAGCGCGAGGATGCCGAGAAGAGTCTGGTGCTGTTCCGCAAGGTGAGGGCACTCGCATCTCCCCATGCGGTACCCGTGATCCGTGGGTGATCCGTGGGTGGAGGGGACTGGGAATAAACCTGGGGAACCCCAATTCTCGGAGGTGCTGGTGGTGTGAATGACACCAATCGGAGCAGGGTCCCACCTTCCTGGGGGGCCAGGATGGGACCCCCAGAGCTGAGCACCCTCTGTGTCCCTGGTACCCCCAGGGCTGTGCACACTGGTAGCCCCAGTCTGGCCCCAAAAGCAGGGGTCCCTCCACACCTCCCTCCCTCCTCAGCTCCTGGGTGTCTCCAGCTGGAGTTTGGGGTGATGCTGGGTCAGCCCTGCGTGTGCCAGGGCAAAAACAGGGTTTGGGTGGGGCTGAACCTGTGCCCACCACCACCACCACCCCGGGGGGGCTCCAGGATCACCTCATCCTCTCCACGCTGCCCTGCAGCTCATCCCAGCCTCTCCCACAGGACGTGGACCACGCCACGCTGTCTCGCCTGGAGCTGGAGCGCAAGGTCGAGCTGCTGATGGACGAGATCGGCTTCCTCAAGAAGCTGCACGAGGAGGTGGGGGCCGGGGTGGGATGGGGTGGGGAGGGGGAACAGGTCAGGTCCTTGAGCCACGACGTGATGCCCACGCACCCACGCAGGAGCTGCGGGACCTGGAGGTGAGCGGCCCCAGCCCGGCGGGGCTGGCCGAGGTGGAGGTGTGCAAGCCGGAGCTGACGGCTGCGCTGCGGGAGATCCGCACCCAGTACGAGAGCATCGCCGTCAAGAACCTGCAGGAAGCCGAGGAGTGGTACAAGTCAAAGGTACCCGGGGCTGGGAGGGATTTTGGGGCGGCTGAGCCCTCCCAGAGCCCTGACTCGCCGTGCCCCCGCAGTTCGCCGACCTCTCGGATGCAGCAAACCGTAACCACGAGGCGCTGCGGCTGGCCAAGCAGGAGATGAACGAGTCCCGCCGGCAGATCCAGAGCCTGACCTGCGAGGTGGACGGGCTGAAGAGCGTGGTGAGAGCCGGGGAGTGTCTGAGGGGGGTGCAAGAACCAGACCCCAGCCCGGCCCTTGGCAGCCCCTTCTCCCCCCGCAGAACGAGGCGCTGCAGCGGCAGATGCAGGAGATGGAGGATGAGTTCGGGGAGGAGATCGGGAACTACCAGGATGTGGTGGGGAGGCTGGAGCAGGAGATCCAGCAGATGAAGGAGGAGATGGCGCGGCACCTGCGCGAGTACCAGGACCTGCTGAACGTCAAGATGGCCTTGGACATCGAGATTGCCACGTACCGCAAGCTGCTGGAGGGCGAGGAGAGCCGGTGAGGGAAGCCTGGCATGCTGCGTGCCCCCACTGCCAGGGGGGAAGGTCCCCCGCCTTGAGCCATCCAGGTTATTGTGGGATTCTCCTGGGAGGAGGCAGCTCCAGGCCTTGTTCCCACAGGAAAACAAGAGGTTCCCATGGGAGCTTCTTGCTGCCGAGATAAAGGCAAGGCCAGGGGATGGTGGGGGAGCTGCCTCCAGCTCCGCTTCAGGTGCCAGCCTGGCACAGCCCCCAGCTGAGCTGGCATATGGGTCACAGACTGGAATGTGGAAGAGTCAGGGTCACTGGCAATGTCCAGGAGACCCAGCCCCTCCTCATTCCCCTCTCCCCCCAGGATCACCATCCCACTGCAGCCCACCCTCTCCTTCAGCATGAGGAGCTCAGGTGAGCGACGAGCTGGGGGTCCCCCGTTATGTCTGGGGGTCTTTCCTTTGGGGTAAAGACCCTGTGTGGGTATGGGCAGGTCCCTGTGCTCCTGCCCAGGGTGTCTGGCAGGGCACAGGGTGCTGATGGCTCCTCTGTGCCCAGTGCTGGAGCCCCAGCCTGCGGAGAGCCCAGCACGGAGGATGGTGCTCATCAAAACCATCGAGACACGGGACGGGCAGGTGAGATTTGGGGGTGCCCTGTCTGAGAGGCCCAACCCTGCCATGGGATTGATCCCCAAATTCTCCTCTTGCAGCAAGTGGTGACGGAGTCGCACAAGGAGCGAGCGGGGAAGTGACAGAGAGAAGGTGCTCTGATGGCCCCGACTCCATGGTGGGGGTTTTGCCAGACCCTGCTGCGTCCTGGGTGGGGCATGGAGCAGAGCAGGGGGGCTGGGAGCGCCCCAATTCCTATTCCTGCTGTCAGCACCACGGGAGAACGCTGTGGTGTGTCCCTGTGCCTTTGCAGCGTGTCCCTGTGCCTTGTCCCCCCACTATTTATCGCTATTTATTGCCTATTTATTATTCTCCCAACCACAACCCCAGCTGTATTTAATATCGAGTGTTCCCCACGCTGCCTCGGGGGTCCCGGCTTCCCTCGTGCCCCCGGAGCTGGCACCGGCTGTCCTCAGGGCTGGTGGGCACGGTGCCACCCAAGCGCTGTCCCCTCTGGTGTCACCGCCACGGGGAGTGGGGCAGAAAGGGAAGCAGCCCCCGGCTGAGGGGGGATCTGCGTCCCCGGGGTCCCGTTCCATCCCAGGGCCCCTCTCACCGCCACGACTCCCACCCTGGGCTGGGGGGGTCTCACCTCCTGCAACAAACACCGGCTACACCGGGGCTGGCGGCTCCGGTGGCACCCAAGCGCTGTCCCCTCTGGTGTCACCGCCCCGGGGAAGGTGCCACCCACCTCTGAATCCCCGGGGGTCCCGCTCCCTCCTGGGACCCCGCGACTCGCAGAGGACCGACGGGCACGCCCGGTATCCCGGAGGGCTCCAGGCTCACGGAGTCTCCGTCCGGAGACGGATCGGTGCTCCCGGAGCATCGCAGGACCGGGGCGGCACCTCCGGGAGCGCCGCGCCCGTTCCGTACCGGGAGCGCCGCGCTCGGTCCGTACCGGGAGCACCGCGCTCGGTCCCTACCGGGAGCGCCGCGCCAGTTCCGTACCGGGAGCACCGCGCTCGGTCCCTACCGGGAGCGCCGCGCCGGTTCCGTACCGGGAGCGCCGCGCCGGTTCCGTACCGGGAGCGCCGCGCTCGGTCCCTACCGGGAGCGCCGCGCCAGTTCCGTACCGGGAGCGCCGCGCCCGTTCCGTACCGGGAGCGCCGCGCTCGGTCCGTACCGGGAGCGCCGCGCCCGTTCCGTACCGGGAGCGCCGCGCCAGTTCCGTACCGGGAGCGCCGCGCTCGGTCCGTACCGGGAGCGCCGCGCCCGTTCCGTACCGGGAGCGCCGCGCTCGGTCCGTACCGGGAGCGCCGCGCCCGTTCCGTACCGGGACCGCCAGAGGGCGCCACCCGCCCGGCCCGAGCGCTGCCGCGGATTAATTCCGTGTTAATTACGGATTAATTATGGGTTAATTACATCGTGACGAGCCTCCGGGTGTGCGGGGAAACACCCTGATTTCTACAATTGAGTTCTTTTAAGCATTTTTCTTTGCATGATTAATTGCGTTCAACCAAATTATTCAAAACTGCCTTAATGCAAGATTTGCTTGTTAGTTTTGCTATTTTAAGCAAGTTTTTGCATTATTTCGTTATTTTCAGCATTTTTTGCACTGCCGATTGAATTATTTAAATCAAATTATGCAAAATTGCGTTACTGAAACAAATCCTGCACACATAATTGCCTTATTTTAAGCAAATGCTGCATTATCGCATTTGAAGTATATTTTTCATCATCAATTGTGTTAAGTATTTTTTTGCATTATTGTGTTATAGCAAATTATACAAAATTCCATAATTTCATGGAATTTTGGCATAATTAATTGCATTATTTTATGCAATTTTTTGCACCATTAATTACACAAACAAAATAATATAAAATTGCATTATTTTAAGCTGGGTTGTTTTTTTCCCCCCCATGATTAATTACGTTATCTTAGTTCATTTTTCCGCCTGAAACCTGGATCATTTTAACCTATTTTTTTTGCCTAATGAATATCATTATTTTAAGCCGTTTGCATTCTTTGAAACGCTAATTGCAGTCACGGCAACACCTCAGGAGCAGCTCCTGACCGAGGGAGGGGAAGATGCTGCCAGGAGGTTTTGGTCACAGAGGACCAAGGAATGTCCCTCCCCGGGACGAGATCGAGCCGGGAGCCCCCGGCAGGGTGACAAACCCCGGGCAGGGTGACAAACCCCCGGCAGGGTGACAAACCCCCGGCAGGGTGACAAATCCCCGGTAGGGTGACAAACACACAGTCCCAGTCCCCTGAGAAAGGGTTTAATGAGGGGAGGGGGTGGCACTGCTGCTGCTCTCACACCGGGAGATTCGGGGGGGACAGACGGACGGACAGACAGACAGGTATGAACACTATGTACAGGCACCCCCTCCCGCCCCCCACCTCTGGGGAGCTGCCCCCCTGGAGCAGGGCTGGGGGCGCTTGCAGTCCTGACAGACTGGGATTTGGGGCGGGGGGCACTGGGAGCACTGGGATGGGGCTCTTTGGTTTCGGGGTTCAGGCTGCGCGGGGGCAGCGCCTTGTCCCGAGCGGGGCGAGCGGGGTGAGCTCCGAGGCGCCCAGTAAAACCAGTTCCCCACGCCAGAGTCACCTGGAGGCTTGGGGCTGTGCCTGGGACCCCTCCTGGACGAGGGTGACGCTCAGAGACTGGAGAAGGGGGGGGCTCCGGGGGTGTTCCCCCTTCCCCCCGGGCACAAACCTGGGTGTGGGAAGGATTCCCACCTCTGCCCAACACTCTGGGACCCACCCCTGGCACAGAGGTGCCCACCTGATGGCAGGTACCCCCCGTTAGGACAGCGAGTCGAGGAAGTGGCTCTCCCCTGCCAACGTGCTCAGCATGGAGCTCATGTCCCCCACTGCCATGTTGGCACCCCCAGACGAGGGCAGCAGGAGCCCCCCGGTCGGGCCGGGGGGTCCGGGCAGTGCTGTGGGGGTCTCCACGTCCTCCACAATGGCAGCGAAGTCAAGGTGCGTGTTCTCCAGGTCCAGCGAGTCCAAGCTGTTGGCCACCTGCTCCCCCGAGTCCAGGTAGTAGCAGGAGGTGCCCTTGGGTCCCTCTGCGCCGTAGTGCCCGCTCCCCCCGCAGCTCGCTGCCCCCTGGCCCAGCAGCTTGTGCCCACCTTTGCCCCCCTGCCCATGCGGGCCCTGGCCTGGGTAGTACAGGGGGAGGTTCCCGGACCCCTCGGGCACGGGGCGGGCGGGGGGCAAGCGCGGCAGGCGCCGGGCACCACCGTCCACCCCATCGTAGCCGTGCCCCGGCTGTGCCAGGCCGCTCGGGTAGCTCAGGCTGGGTTGGTGAGCCGGTGGTTTCGGGCCACCTGGAGGGTGCGGGATCATCTCGGGGTTGAAGCAGGGCGGGCTCAGGAGGTGCTGGGGCTCTGCCAGGCTCTGCAGATGATCTGGTTTGGGTTGGTAGCTGCAGTACCTGGGGCTGAGGTACGGCGGGGCTGGCACGGCCTGGCACTGCCCGGGCTCGTTGCCCAGCCCCACGCCTGCCACGCTGCCCTTGGAGTGGGGCTGCTCCCCCCACATCAGCGCCTGCTGCGCCTCCACGTAGTTCCGGACCATCACCTCTTTGGTCTGCAGGGTGGGGGTCGGGGCTCTGCGGGCGCCCGGGCTGGCCATGCCCATGTACCCGCCCGGCGCGGGTCCCACGGGGGGAAACCCGCCCGGCCCCACGTCCACGGCGTGGCCGAAGGCAGCGGGGGACGCCGGGGGCCCGGCCAGCTTGGCACCGGGGCAGGGAGCAAGTGCTGGGCTCGGCGCTGGGTACCGCTGCTCGGATTTGATCTGCAGCCGGTTAAACCGATGCCCCCCGGAAAATTCTTGGTCCTGGCATGAGCTCACCAGTTTGGGATGCTGCCCGCAGGCGCTGGGATGGGGGTACTCCATGTTTTGGTGGGGACAGTGCGGCCCGGGCATGGCGGGAGCTGCAGCAGCCACACTTTGCCTGGAGCTCATCCCCAGCGGGCCCTGGGGGGATCCATCCCAGGGCTCCGGCACAGCCCCGTTCCCAGCAGGCAAACTGGGGAAGCGCTGGTTCATCTGGCACTGCGGCAGGGAGAACTCCAGCCCCTCCTCCATGTCCCCGTGCGTCCCCACCATGGTCCGCTGAGCACCGTAGATGCCACCCTGCAGCTCCACACCGGTGCCCTGGCACGGGAAGCTTTCCTCGGGGTAGCTCAGGTACTGATCCATGTCCAGCAGGCCGGATTCGGGGCCGGGGCCCCCCATGCTCTCCAAGAAGACGTTCTCGGTGATGCTGGGGGGGCGTGGGGAGAAGCCGTGGTGCTGCAGGTTGGCCTCGGAGCCGCCCAGGGGCTGCAGCGCCGTCCTGCCCACGCCTGGCACGCTCACGTTGCCCACGCTCTTAAACCGCTGTACCCTGGGCACGGCCGGAGGCTTGGCCACCGTCCGGGCAGGGTCGCTTGCCCGTCTCACGCCGTGCCGGGGCGCCAGCTGAGCAGGGACGCCACCCGGGTAGCCGGGGTGGTCGTTGGAGCTGTGCCTTCTCAACAAGCCGTTGGCGACGCAGCGCGGCCCGGCGGGCGCGGGGTAGCCCCCGGGCACGCCGCCGTGGCCGCCGGGCAGCGGGGTCGGCGGTGGGCCGCCGGTGGCCGCGGCGTATTTGGCCTTGAGGCGGTACCGCTGTGCCGGGGTGAGGCTGCCCACCCCCGGCAGCCCCCCGCACACGTCGCCGGAGCGCCGCGACTCGTCTGGAGAGGTGGCATCGAAGCCGTCCGCCGGGCACGTCCCGCCGGGCACCGCTCCGGCCTCGCCGCCCGGGCACGGCCCGGCCAGGTACGGCGACACCAGGGACGAGCGGCGGCTGACGGTGTAGGCAGAGCTGACGGTGCTGGTGCCGCTGCTCCGGCGCTCGCCCGGCGCCACCAAGCCCAGCTCTGCCGCCGACAGCTCGGCGATGCGCCGGTGCGAGGCTGGGGGTGGCACCGGGACACCGGGCACCTCCCCGGGCAGGCCTGAGGGAGAGAAGGAGGAGTTAGCCCGGGACACAGATTGGCACTTCAGAGCAGGGACAGGAGCCACCTCCAGAGCTGGGATGTGTCTGTTCCGTGGTTAGAGCCCGTGAGGACAGGGAGCAGGTGGCAACAGATTAGCAGAAGTTGAATTCGTTTGGAAAAATCACGGAATCATGGAATGGTTTGGCTTTGGAGGGATCCTAAAAACCACCCATGTCCCACGGGCAGGGACACTTTCCACTAGAGAGGTTGCTCCAGTCTGGCCTTGGATGCTTCCAGCTTCTCTGGTCACCCCTGCCAGGGCCTCCCCATCCTCCCGGGGAAGAATTCCTTCCAATACCCCACCTAACCCTGCCCTCTTCTCCAACGTGAAGCCATTCTGCCTGGTCCTGGCACTCCAGACCCTTGTCCAAAATCC